GTGTGAGAGAGAGAGAGAGAGTCACTGTTTCAGTGTATTTGACAGCTACACCATCCTTTAGCTGCAGGCATCCTTCTCTGTGGAAAGTTGGCATATGATGGTGAACGTTATAAAAGTGAATATCTAAAAATAAAAAAAACTGGTTGTTTACCCCGATAGAAAACAGTCCCAACACTATCACTCTGTTTCAGTAATAGTTTAGTGAACTGTTGTTTCAAAACATACGAAAGAACTTAAATGGCAGTTAATTTAACTGCTGAGGTGAGCTGCAGCCACAGCCTGACCTTGTAAATGAAACATCAGCTCTTTTATACATCACAGCTGTAGCACTATCATACATATATGTAAACAACTGAGAATAGAACTACACATTGCCAGCAGATTGAGTAAAGCTATTTGTGAAGTATATCTTTAACCAGAACCAGTTCAGAGTGCAGTCTGGGCCGTTTCAGCCTGTAAAGTTGGCTGTAGTGTCCTTTTACCATGTGGAAAATATGATTCAAGCTCAACAGTAGAGCAACAATTATTTAAAAAACAATATTTGCCACGGTACCAACACAGCTATTTCCAGAACATTTACCAAGAGTACTTTAAATTATTGCCGGGCGATACCAACCATTTGCCTCCTCCTTGCCCTCAGATTTCAGCAGCAACCACAGCCTGCACAGATCCATCTGTCTTTTACAACTCTTCTCTGATGTGATTTTATGCTCTGATTCTGAGTTCAGTTTGTCTTTGAAGAGCCACTGTAGAGTGTTAATCCATTTTTCCTCTGTGTGCTCTTTCTCCCCCTGCAGGCTGTTAGAGATAGTAAGCTATAAAATCATTGGGGTTCACCAGGAGGACGAGCTGCTAGAATGTTTATCTCCGGCTGCCAGCCGCACCTTCAGAATAGAGGTATGTGCGTCGGCGAGGCGTTCCCTGTGTTTCTCTTCTTTTTGAAGTTTATATTTAGTCATTTTTCCTCCTCTAGTCAGTCTTAACAGGCCATCAGTGTGACAGGTATAGTTTGTGTCAGGGCCTGCTAAGTTTGGCTACACAGCAGACACTTTTGCAGCTGTTATTTGCAGGGTTTTACTACTTCAGAATAATGTCAGCTGTTAACTGACCTCACTAAATCTCTTCTTCCTCACTTTTCCTAATTTCTTCCCTCGCTCAGGAGATCCCTTTGGACCAGGTGGATTTGGACAAGGACAGTGAAATGCTGATCCCTGTCGCTCACTTCCACAAGGAAGTCTTCGGCACCTTTGGGATCCCCTTCTTGCTCAAGATCAGACAGGTGTGTGTTTGTTTGTTCGTATGAAAGAGTTTCTAGTCTGCTTAACATAACATATTGCTCAGTTACCCAACTTCATGCTCTGGTTGTTTCCTTCCTTGATTCCCACCCCTAACTGTCCACAGGGCGAGTCATTTCGGGAGGTGATGAGGAGGATCCAGACCATGCTGGACATTCAGGAGAAAGAATTTGAGAAGGTACAACACCACACTTTGGTTGCAGAAACAGATATTTTGAGTATTAACCGCATTTAAAATGTTTTATGATGAATATTATTTAGGCTGTCGAATAATGTGCTTTTCGCGTTGGTTCACAGTTCAAGTTTGCGATTGTGATGATGGGACGGCATCAGTACATCACTGAGGACGAGTATGAGGTCAACCTGAAGGACTTTGAACCACAGCCAGGTATTTACTGCTTCTGCTCCCACTGAGAGTGCAGCTTACACAACAACTGCTGCTGTGACTGTGACTGTAATAATGGGAGCAATGGGTGTGCAACAGGCTATAAACAAAAGCATCACAATGACCGTCCTAGAAGATCAATCATTTATGTAATGCCACTGCGTTGGTCAACTTTTTATACGCAATTGTACTTTTAAGCGTGTGATCGTCGAGACAGAGGAAAGATTAATTGCTGCCATTATAACCTTCCTGTGTTTTAATCATGTCTCACGCCCACGCTAACACGGTCTTAACATGGCCTTATAGCTGACAAACATTAATACATATTGTGTGCTACAAACCGTTTATTAAATGTTTATATAATACTTAAATACTAAATAGAGGGACACAGTTATCCACCAGGAATGTTATTTGATCGTGCACTGCATTGCGGTCCTGCAAAAGCTGAGCCCGGTTCAGGCCGTTCTTTGCCAGAGCCTGCCGTTTGTGGCGTCCCCACTGCGCCGACGGACTGGGCGTTTGTCCCGTCGATGCGTTTTCACTAATGCGTTTACTCTCCCTGTGGCAGATAAACACTTTGTCTCTCTTATCTCGTTCCAGGTAACATGTCCCACCCGCGCCCCTGGCTAGGGTTGGATCATTTCAACAAAGCTCCAAAGAGAGGTCGCTACACCTACCTGGAGAAAGCAATCAAGATCCACAACTAAAGCAGCCCGCCCTTCCTCTTTGTCCTCCTCATCCTTCTTTTCCTCCTCCTCCTCCTCCTCCTGCTCCTCCTCCTGCTCCTGCTCCGCCTTCCTCCCTACCTACTTTAACACACCATAACCACAGACTGTAACCAACCGTGTGTGTGTGTTTGTGTGTGAGAGACTGTGTGGGCGTGTGTGCGTGCGTGCTCGTGTGTGTGTGTGTGTTCATCACTTTTAACACCCCGCCTGGACACCCCTACAGCTCTACACCGGCACTATGTCTTCAGCGATACGGATCTTGCTGCAGCTGACGGATTATCCTTCAACACAAAATAAACTGCACCAACCACCTCCTGGCTGTTGATTTTGTTTATTTTGTTTTTTGTTTTTTTTTCCAGTGATGCGGATTCTGCATATTTGT